AATTGTAAGGCAGAAAAAAAATGTCTTTGAACCATTTAATTTAAGACTCCCCTCAGTGCCAAGAGATCATTTAGCATGTTTGTGCTGACTTGGTCACCAGGAACAGGGTGAGGGGCTGTTGAGAGGCGATTTTCTGGCAGCAGCCTGTGGTTAAGAGCCAATATACTGAGGGTCACAGAAAATGCTTGCCCTGGTGGTGAATGAGCGTTTTTCTCTAGGAAGGGAGGATTATTGTTTGGGTCAAACCTTTCTCCTTTTGAAAGGCTAATTTTGTTGAATGGGGTACAGGGGTCGGTCGGTCGCAGGGGTCATTTCTGACATTCTGCTGTGTTCACCTGGCAAACGTGCTATCTTAGAGAACCAGGATGTGGTAGATGTTTAGTGAGTGTTGGATGCATTAATTGGATGAGTGTGCATGGTTCAAACCCAGCAACAGATTAGCTGTCTCCCCACCTCCAATTCTGTGACACTGAGGCTTCTGATCAATGCAACTTGAAAGACACACACACTGCAAATAGATTTCACTCTCCCAGGTGTCAGGATGAGGTCCCCTAGATAGAGACATTTGTCTGGCTGGGCAAGGAGACGTGTCAGCCAGTATGGGGGCAGGAGGTTGGACTCAATGCCACTTGGGTGTGCTTTCCAGCCCTCTGAGTGTCTGTTACCTCCACCCCTGTTCCAGGCCACCAAAACTGGGAACATCCTTAAAACTCTAGCTCCTTTAAATGGGGAAGGAAGTCCAGGTCATGCACCTTCTTCTCCATGAACATTTCAGGCACGTTGTAGGAGCACAATACATTTTTAAAATATCATTTTTTTTAGAGTGGCTGGATTTACCTCCATATGAAGTGGAAGAATTCACAGGGGCTTAGCAAAACTAGAGCTCTTTAATTGCTTGTTCCTAAGACTTTCACTGAAGTGTGAGAGAATATTTCTGAGGTGGAGAAAGTAGAATGATGAAGAATTTGAGCTCTGAAGTGAAATCCATCCAGGCTCAAATCTTTCTTTGCCACTTGCAAGCTGCAGGACCTGCTAGCCTCTTCATCTCTTTGTGCCTCAGCCTCCCCATCTGTGAAATACTCCCCTGTTGGGGTTGTAGTGAGGAGCGAATGAGACAACTTACATACAGAGCATGGCACTGTGCCTGGTACAGCCCAGACCTCCATTAAAGCAGATGCTGTTGTTGCTATGCCAGGGGCTATCCAACGAGACGCAGAGGTGGGATGCTAAAGCCCCTTACTACCTGGGCTGCACTTGTTCAGTAGTGATGCCTTGGTTCTGTGGACTTGACTCCTGAGCACTCCAATGCTCCGTATTCAGTTTTAAATGTGGTTTTGGTGCTCCCTAAAGAGCCACTGGAGATGGGTAGAGTGGTTTAAAACATTTGACAGATCCCAAGGGCACACTAATCAAAAGAAATGTTTTATTTTATTGGTTGCACATGCTTTCAGGCTAGGTGCTTGGCAAGCAGCTTGACCTTCTCAATCTCAGTTTTCTCATCCATAACATGGGGCTAATAATAGCAGCTCCCTCCAAGAGCTGCTATGAAGATTGGATGAGCTAATTTATGGAAAGTGCTACTTGGCAACTGGTCAGGGCTCCATCAGTGTTAGCTCTTGCTATTAATAATAAATTATTGTTTTTTTAATTACTATGTGCCAGACCCATCGGAGAGAAAAAAGTTGAATGCAATGCAGTGTCCTCCTGTGAGGGCCTCAGAGTTTAGTAGCAAAGGTAGACACAAAATAAGTACATAGTTCATAAGGCAGATAGTCTTTTTAATTTTTAAAATTTGTTTTCACATAATAACTATACATATTTGGGGTACACAGTGATGGTTGATACGTATAATATACAGTGATCAGATCAGTGTAATTAACATGTCCATCATCTCAAACATTTATCATCTCTTTTATTAGAAATATTAAATATTCTCCTTCTAGCCATTTGAAACTATAAAACATATTATTGTCCTAAGTACGATAACGTAGGGAGGAATAAAAACAGAGGAATGTAAAAAAAAAAAAACAGAGGAGGGAGAGACCTTTAAGGAAGCATGGAGTCCCTTGCTTATAGTCACATAGTTATTTTTAGTTATCTGATCTGAGAAATGGGGATGATTCTTCTATTTCATCAATTTTATCTACAAATGCAAAGAATGATCAGAAAAAAATCAGGCCTTTGCCCCCAGTAGGGTCCCGAGGACCATTTCTTTTCCCAGGAGAAAAAAGCAGGCTAAACTCTCTGAAGGGAACATTAACTGCTGGGGAATAGTCAATGCCAGTGGAGAGGAGCCATGGAAGGGAGCTGCCCATATAATATAAATTTTCCAGCTCAAGGATGCAGTCTCTGGTGTGGGCTATTAGGCTTCTTGTCCTTCATGGACTAGCTCTGGCTAATAGGAAATCCAGTCTGCATTCCATGAACAACCACCAGTGATGGGGGGATTATAGCAAGCCTGCAAGTGTTTGAAGATAAAATTAATCACAGGGGAATGAATACACAAAGCGGAAGAAGCTGCATGTTGGCTTAAAAAAAATTAAGTTGTACTTTCATTCATTTAACATTTTTATTGAACCACTACTCAATGTAACAGTGAACGAACACAGGAACTCTCTGTTCCCATGGAGGAGAAAGACAATGAATGAAGAACCAAATAAATAATTGAGAGCTGGTGGTAATGTGTGCTGTAAAGAAGAATAAAGCCAAGGAAAAGAATAGAGAGTGAGGGAAGGAGCTGCTTTGTTGGACAGCCTGATCAGATACCTGAATGAAGGGAGGAGTGAGCTGTGAGGATAAGTGAGGGAAAAGTGTTTGAGGCAGAGGGAACAGCAAGCACAAAGGCCCTGAGGTACAAGGATGCTCGGTGTGTTTGAGATGTAGCAGGGAGGTCAGTGTGGCTAGAGCAGAGTGAGTGAGTGGGAAAGTGACGGAAGATGATTCTCAGGATGTAGGCAGAAAACAGATCAAGTGGGGCCTTGTAAGCCAGTTCAGGAAATTCCTAGGTCCTAGGCTGGGGGCAGGAGGGGGTCGCAGGGAACTTCTTGCCTTCTCAGGCAGCGCTCCAGGTCTGATCTGCTTCTCTTGTCTCCTCTTTCCTGTCTCTGATGCAGCCAGGGATGACTTCGAACAGCAGCATCAGAAGCTTGGCTGGGCCCCTTTATGTGTTATAGGCAAGCATGAAATTTACAATCTCTTTGATTGTGATCAATCAGATGAGGGAATTTTAAAGACTCTGTTTAGACTTCCAGATAGCAGTGATAGATTTTGTTCCCATAATTCAAGGTTTTGGTCTTTCATATTCATGCACGCAAACCTAGACTATCCCTTGCACCCAATAGCCCCCTCCAGTGCACACCCTTGAAGTCTGCTCTTTCTGTCTCTCCCTCTGTGTATCTCTCCCCCGCAAACCCCACCCTCCAACCCCCACCGCCACCCCCACCACCTTCCAGTCCTCCACTCCATTTGAAATTTTACTGAGGGAACTCCCCTATGCTACAGCCTGTGTGTGGAGCTCCGTAAAATAAAACACTGAATTAAGATGTCATAGAGACAAAGCCAAACCAAATACAGGAACAATGCTGAACCCTAAAACAGTCATTAAGTAATTCACGTCTACATGTGTCTGTTCAAAACAAATATTAAGATCCTCTGGACGCAAATATTTCTCATTTGGAGAATCCCCTGGTTTCTGGATTCCCAGAGCTTAGATGCTGCTGTCAGACAGCTTTGCTGAGTGCAAGCACCAGCGGATCACTGTTCTCTGGCTTCATTAAAAGTTAGGCTTAGGCAGGTGAGCAGGAATTTAGAAGACAGTTGCCACTTCTGCAGAAAGAGAGGTGCCATTTGGACCCGAAACGTGCATCTTCATGGTGTGTGCATGTGCTCATTCGTGGTGGGAATGTGTGTGCTGAGAGCCTCGTGTTACTGTGTGCCTTGCCCTGTGCTGAACACATTTCATCTCTTATCCAGTTCTATCCTTATCATAACTCCAGGAGGGAGCTGTCTTCAAGACCCTATTTTACAGATGAGGAAACGGAGCCTCTGAGAGTAGAAGTGATCCATTCACAGGCGCATGGCTGGTAAGAGTCAGAATTGGGTTGAGAACCCAGAGCTCTTAACCAACATGGTTATAGGAGAAGACACTTTGCAGAGGAGAAAAAAGTGATATCAGAGAGGGGAGGTAAGCCCTGGGAATCCAGCAACCAGGGAGTCTCTAGTTGAGAAACCTTTGCATCCGAGGGATCTTACTATTTGTTTTGAACAGACACATGGAGATGTGAATTGCTTAATGACTGTTTCAGGGTTCGGCATTGTTCTGTTTGGTTTGGCTTTGTCTCTGCGTAATCTTAATTCAGCGTGTGCCCACAATCACATGGTTTGTAAGTGATGAAAGCAGGAACTGGATTCAGGTCTGCCTGATTGCAAGTATATTCTTCTCTCCTGGCTGGACTTCCTGTCACTGTGGTTTCGGTTTTAAGGTTGGAGGTGTTTTTGTTTTGTATTTCTCATCTTGTTTTATGTTCAATCAGCTTGGATGATTGCCTTTGTTATAATCCCATCTCATACCACTTACAGCAATACTGCCTTCCACTCTCCTTGCCCCTCTTATCCATGCCCTATATAGACCCAGAAGAACCTCTTTGAAAAGCACATTACACCATGTAAGTGTTCTCTCCGTCCATTTAAAGCCCTCTATCACGTTCTCATGCTTGTTTTTGTTTCTGAGATGGAGTCTCGCTCTGTTGCCCAGGCTGGAGTGCAGTAGTGTGAACTCGGCTCACTGAGACCTCCGCCTCCCAGGCTTAAGCGATTCTCCTGCCTCAGCCTCCCAAGTAGCTGGGATTACAGACACCCACCACCACACCCAGCTAATTTTGTATTTTTTAGTAGAGATGGGGTTTCACCATGTTGGCCAGGCTGGTCTCGAACTCCTGACCTCAGGTGAGCCACCTACCTCAGCCTTCCAAAGTGCTGGGATTACAGGCATGACTCACCACGCCCAAACCCATGGTTTTTTTTAAGTATACAGAGCCAGCTCCCTGCTGCGGCCTCTAGTCTCTTCATGGTCCAGTTCCTGCCCACCTCCCTGAGACCATTTCTAAAGCGCCACCTCTAACTTCCTCTGCTTTAGTTGCATCTCATTCGTTTTAGTTACTCAGATTTCCCAGGCTCCTTCCTGCCATGGAGCCTTTGCACGTGCTGCTAGGAAAGCTCTTCCTCTCCCCCAGTGCCTGACTTATACCTACCCCACTTTCCAGAGCTCAGAGCAAGTGCTGTTTCCTCGGGGATCCTTCCACAATGCTGGAGACTAAGTCATACCCCTCATTACAGACATTACTTTCTTATCACTGTTTTCAATGTGTTTGGAATCGTATATGGATTTGGGCGATCACAGGTTAAAGCATACCTCTCCTAATGGATGAGGCATGATGAGGAGAGGGACTGTGACTATGAGCTCCTTGTTGAATGAATCTCTTTCCCCAGATACAAGGCAGGGGGCCAAACACATGTTGGTAGAATGCATGAATTGCAGCACTTTCCCCTCATTGAATCACTTTCACGCCTGATAGTCTGAACCATATGGAATTGCCAATATTCAAAACCAGCAATGTTATTTTTTTACTGATTCATGGGAGAATTTTTGAACCACTGCAGATGGGTACTGTGCCTGTCTCATTCCTTGCGGTATCCCAGCATCTAGTACAGTGGCTCAAGTTTGTGATCTTTAAATATTTGTTGAATAAATTGTTAATGAGGGCAATACAACTGTAAACATACTGCACAGATGAGAAAACTCAGAGACCTACAAGGGTGTAGTATTAGAATTGTGGAGCTAACAGAACCTTAAGGATCCTCCAATCTCATTTTGCATGTGGAGGGCTGAGGGATCTGTTTGGTACCATGCGTAATATATTGGAACAATAGTGCACATGTATAATTTGTAAGTAAATACATATATGTTGGGGTTTCGGTCTCAGCATTCCTCACTGAAAGAGATACGAGATAAAAGAAACTCTGGGGTCCACTGATGTAACTCAGCTCCTCTTTTAGCAGAGAGGGACACTGAAGCCTGCAACAGGAGAGAGATATGCCTAAGATGTGTAGCCTGTAGGTGAGCCCTGGGTTCAGAGAACTGATGTTAGCCCAAAAGCAGGGCTCCTGTTTGAACTTCTCTGCTGTGACCAGGTGACCAGACACTGGTTCTGAACTTCTCTGCTGTGACCAGGTGACCAGACACTGGTTCTCTCTGGTCACCCCACTCACCCTGTGATACATGACATTCTTCCCCCTTGAGGTCTCCTGTGGCATCTGCTGCCCACCCACAGTTCTGGGGATCCTGACAAGATGTCCATCTGCACCCAGCCTATGCCTAGCAGAGCAGGTGAGCAGCCTTGGCTGTTTCTGGAATCAGATTTCAGAGCTTCCGGCTGATAAGGGGCTTTTGTTTGGCCAGTGTTTTGCCCCAGCCTCTCATCTACAGCCAGATGGCAGGTGATTCTGGGACCCAGCCCACACCCAGAAGGGGTAGGTAACTGAGCAGTGGTGCGGCACCTGTCATATGGATGGTTGTTTGCTGCAGGAACGCATTAGAGCACATTTCAATGGCCAGTTCTTTATAACTCCTCGTCGTCTCACCAAGGCATTTAGTCCACAGCCAGAGGGCACATTCAGAACTCAAATATAGCCTCTTCATTTGATAGATGGGGAGACTGAGGCACAGAAAGAGCACAGGGAATTCTACACTGCATCGGAAAATTAGTGTCAAAGCTGTAGCTAAATGATGGTCTGCTTGGCACCCAGTCCCAAGACACCACACTGCTCAGAGTTCCTTTGGGGAAGAAGACAGAAAAATCAATTCATTCACATTTTACAAACAGACTAATGAGGCTCAGAGTTGTGAAATGATTTTCCTAAAGTCACACCATGAAATAATGATATATCATTATTATTGTCACTGTTAAACAGTTACTATTGATCTTGTTTGATCCTCACCATAGTAAGTTCCAGTTTTATGTCCATTTTAAAGATGAAGAAACTGAGGCTCAAGGTCTTATGAAGACCTGAAATAAGCTCCAGATCTCTTGACTCCAAGTTCGGTGCTCTCATCCCACTGGGGGGCAAGATTTCTGACCCCCCAAGAGGTTGTGCGCTGAGCAGGGATCACCAGGCAAAGATGGGAACACTGTGACTGTCTTTAATAACTGACCCAGGCTGCACTGCCTAAGCAATCCCATTCAATCCACCTCATTTCTGTTCACCCATAGAGTGCCAGCATCATGCCTTCCTCAACTGCTCTGTATATACTGTATCTTTTTCCTGCCTGGAGAGTCTCTTAGAATGACATTCTTCTTAATGGCCTTGGGGGCATGGGAGGATTAGAGTGGGCCCCCAAAATTGAAAGGGGAACCCAGACAGAGACTAATAGCCTTAGAAAGAAACATCATATACCCCATTATGGCAGGGACCAGGTTGAGGGGAAAGAGGCCCCCCAAACTGCAGTGAGAAGAGTGCATGCAGGTCAGGAAAACTTTCCATGGTGGGTCCTGGTTATATGTGGCCCCCAAAGAAAAGACGTCTTGACAACTAGAAGAAGTAGGGATGACCTCAAGATTACTGTAGCTCAACCCTGCCTAACTCTTCATTTCACAGAAGGAATCTGGCACAGAGTAGTCAAGTCACTTGCCTACGGTCTCACAAGCAATTAATGCCATTGACAAGGGGTTCGTAGTAGAGCACTTGTGGGTTTTTGGAAAGAGAAAAACTAATATGATTACTTTCTGCTGCGTGCCATAACACATGCCTGCAGCCCCAGCTACTTGAGAGGTTGACACAGGAGGATCCATCCCTTGAGCTCAGGAGCTCTGGGCTTAAGTGTGCTATGCCAATGGAGTGTCTGGACTAAGTTTGGCATCAATATGGTGACCTCCCAGGAGCTGGGAACCATCAGATTGCCAAAGGGAGAGTGAATTGGCCCTCAGGTCAGAAGCAGAGTAGTTCTAAACTCTTATGCTGATCAGTAATGGGATCGCACCTGTGAATAGCTACTGCACTCCAACCTGGGCAACATTGTAAGACTCCAACTCCAAAAAAAAATAGTAAAACTAAATAAAAATTTAAAATGATAGCTTTCCACTGACCACTCCTATCCACACCCCAGAACACTGGCTGTTCCACCCTGCCTCTATAGCATTTATGTCCTTTTAACAAATCAACCCTCAAACTGTCCCCATATGGTGATTTGAATGCAGGGGCTAGAGGCTATGGTCTGAGTGCTCCTAGATGCATTTAATGTTTTCCAGGGAAGCTCAAGCTGAGACTTCCACCACAGGGACTCCCAGCTTTTGACTTGGGCAATATGTAATTTCCACCACCCTGATGTTTACTATCACTATTCCAGTTCTTAAAAGCCTTTTGCCTTTTTTCTCCCTGGAAAATAGTGCGCTCTGCATTTCCACCTCTCTAACCCTCTAGCCTAAGGAAAGCATCAACTCCCAGTCACCAAGCAAATGTTAGTTACGACACATGCAAAGGGTGGGTGTTGTGTAGTTAGAGGAGTGCTGGCTTTGCAGTTAATGTGCTTGGGCTTGAATTCTACTCCACCATCTACTAGCCGTGTGACCTTGGGCAAATCCCTTTACTACCCTGAGTGCCCTCATCTGTAAGATGGTGATAGAAATTCTTAACTCAAGTGGTTGCTAGTTCCTGGTATGACTGAGTATTTGGAATGGTTGCTTTTGGCCATTCAGGCACATGTTCAAAAGTGAATCAGTTTGATAGTGGTTGTGGAGTGAGAAAAGACGCTAGGATTATATCCTTGGTCAAGAATGCTAAGCCTCACAGTTCGTGGGTTTCATTCTTTATTATGCAGATGGAGAAAGTAAGTCTCAGAGAGGGAAAGGCATTTGCCCAAAGTCACACAGTAAATGGGAATCAAGGTCTCCTCACCCTAAAGCTCACTCCTCTGTCTCAGTGACCTCGTAAATGTAAATTTTTCAACTTCTTCATCTGCCAAAAAGCTTAATAATGCTTACTAATAATAGTTTCTGACTACTTACTATACACCCAGCACTGAAAAAAATGTTTTGTCTGCAATATGTCGCTTAATCTGCTCAATTATCTTTTGAGGTAAATACCGTGGCAATTTCCATTTTGTAGATGAGAAAATTAAGGATCAGAGAGTTAAGTGATGTGTATAACTTGCACAGCTAGATACTGTCAGAACCAGAATTTGAATCCTGTGCTGGTAGCTCTCACTAACTCTTATTGGGAACACCTGTTCTGCCAGTCTCCTGCGATAAGGAGAGATGAGAAAACTTAGGAGCACGATATGGAAACAAGAAAGTTCTTGACAAGCTGTTTACATCTTCCAATACGTGACTCCATTCTGCTCCATCCCAGGGCCACAGTGATGCATCAGAGAGAACGTGGCTCAGGATGTCTGTCCACCAGCACTACCCCATAGTTTTATTTTGGGACTTGCCAGTCTGACTCTACGTTAATGTAGAACCCTTTCTGGAAACAAGTTTCCCTAGGAATGAGAAAAAGACAAGGAGAATAAGTCTTTCTCGAGTGAGAAATTTGGGACTTCTAATTGCAATGCTTAGCCCAAGCTGACCCACTTAGGTACAGTCATTGTGCAATCATGGTTATTCTTCAGATGCACAATATTACATGCTTGATGAGAACTTGATTCATGCATCCACCCATCCATTTATCATGCATTTACTCATCATCTATTCCATCATCCATTTATTTATCCACCCACCACCTGTTCATCCATCCATCCACCCTTTATCCATCCATCAAACAACAATTAATGCATTTATTATTTCATTCACCCATCCATCCATTTTCCAACTATTTGTCTATTCGCCCAATCTACAATTATTTTCTTTTCCCGTTCATCTACCCATCATCCATCTACCCATTCATCCACCTCATCCAACCAACATTCATGGAGCATCTAAGTTACCTACTGATGGGGAGTTGTTTATGGTTTGGCAGTCAGAATATTTACTGACTGATCAATTGGTGTAAGAAATGGTGCCTTTCTTCACCATTTCCCTACATTTATGGTAAAGTGAGATTTATTCATTTCATTTAATGGACAGTGAGAACTACCAGCTCAAATTATTTTTTTCAAGACCACACAGGGATAAAGTTAAACCTGATCTTCCAAGCCTAGTTCTCTCCAAAACACCTAAAATACTGTAGTTCCAAAGAACCACAGGCATCTTGGGCTTGTTTTTCTTCTCTGGGGTTTTTTACTGTGCATATTTAAATAATCATGCATATTCATTTATATCGGCAACAAAGGATCACAACAAATGCTATGACCCTTTTATTTTTCACTTGTGCAAAGAGATTTCACATATGCAAAGCACAATGAATAAAATTGTCTCTAGCCTCAAGTTGTTTACATTTTAGTATGGGAGACCTGTTTATAAATAACTAGTGACTAGGAAGCAGGGCAGGAGTTAACAGTATCAAAAAGAAAATTAAGGCCAAGGCAGGTAAAGTGACTTGCCCAAGGTCATACAAGTTAATACTAATACTGTGTAATTTAAAATAACTTCTATTCCTAAACTAAGCTCTGTGTTAGGCAATTTATGGACAGATTGCACTGCATCCTCACTACAACTCTATGAATTCGGTATTACTGTCTCCATTTTATAGACTATAGATATGAAACTCAGAGAGTCTAAGCAGCTTGGTCAAGGCTATCACTTCGTAAGGGTCAGAGTCAGCCCAGGCATGCTTACTTCCACAGTTTTCTCTCCCATAAAACTTTTCCCAGAATCAAGGTACGGAGCAGAAAATGTCACTTGTGAGGCCCAACTGTTCTCCTGCTTTTGAGTTTCCAGGTGATCCCTTCTGTGGAAGTCCATCCCAAGACGGAGTTCAGATAGAGGAGGAAGTTTCTGCAGAGATGAGGTGGACCTCGTGGGGCTGAATAGAGCAGTGGTGGGGTAGGGATGGGTCCCAGCCTGAACTGGGAAATCACTCAGAAGAAGAATCAACCAGTCTGGAAGTGTCTTCTCAGCAGGAAGGTTATCCATGAAGAGGAAAAACCCTTCAAGACAAGGGAACAAGAGATATTAGTTAACCATACGTGTTCTTGACTACAGCTCAACTCAAAGATGGCACCCCAGAGGAGCATAAACTGAGTCGCTGGTAGTGAGGAAGAACATTATATATATATATATATAGGGGTAAACATTCTCTAAGCACTGGATTTGCTCGGCATTTCTACTTCCTTATAGTCACTTAAGGGGTGACTGAAAACAGCCTTGTAATGTAAGGGAGAACACAAGCCCGGCGAGGTTATTTTATTTGCCCAGGGCTGCCCAACTTGGCAGAGCTCTGGCTATTGGCCATCAGTCCACACACATTACTGTGCAAGCGTCCATCATCCCTGCCCATGTGGTACCTTTCTGGCCTTATAGGTCTCTCTCTCTCCCTTCTCCCCAGCCTGGAGGCAATCTCTTTTTATTCTGGAGAAATCTTTCTTCCTTTGCGTTTCTTCATGATTCTCTCCTAAGTCCATAAATTCCCTTCCCCAAAGGGCTTTGAGTTTTCCAAAAAGCAAATGCAAAAACACTCTCATATTCTTTCTGTTTTCAGCCTGACACATGCCTCCCTGAGGCAATAAGAGTAGGACCCATGGTCAGCTTAAATGGTAAAAAAGAAAAGGAGAAAATATAGGGAGAGGGAAAAAAAATCCACACAGATCATTGTCTCAAAATGTTGTCCCATTGCACATGCAACACCTACTTCAAGCTGCTTAAGTGTTTGTGGTGGATACTGTCATTATCTCCAGTTTACAGGAGAGGAAGCTGAAGTGTGGGGACATTACGTGCCTTCTCCAAGGTGACACAGCTAGGAAGTGGATTTAGGAGTTAAACTCAAGCTTGTAAGGCACTAATTGTCAAGGTTTTAACTACCGCATCCTCCTGACACACTATCTGTGTGGGAAAAATATGTATCAAAATTGTTCCCTAAGGAAAATGGACTTGCCCAAGATTGTTCAGCAAGTCAATAGAATGGGGGCCAAGTTTGCTCGTCAGAGGCACATCAATCAAGACCTACATTTAATGGACACTATCTGCATACATCTGGGTCTAAGGGTCACCTAGCTTGGTCTCTGAGGAGGCTACATTCAACACCCAAGAAAAATGTTCAGAAAGAGATATTTCTTAGAGCACTAGCCAAGCTACAGAACCGTGCAACTGAGGGGATAAGAGCAATAAGGCAAAAAAGATCACAGAGAGTGTCAACATCTGTAACCAATTGGTAGTGGTTGCCTGGAGCACTGTGTTGAGATGGACTTTAGGGCTGTATCTGAGGTTAGTAGTGAAGAGTGCTTGGATCAGTTAGTAATGTCTGTCATTGGTGCGGGAAAGGAGGGTCGTAGCATGCATACGATGTATTTATATTTCCCCCACCTGGAAGTCCCCTACAGCTTTTGGAAGAATCAGATCAAGTGCTAACTATTGAACATTTACTATGCTGTTGGTGTTGCATTCATTATTTCATTTAACGTTGATCGCCGGATTCCCTCTCCTGACACATTTTGCAGAGGAGAAAACAGAACGTCAGAAAGGTGAAGTTACTTGCCCAAGGCCAAAAAAGCTGGTCCATGGCTAACCAGCTGTGATAATTACTGTGAAATACATAAACCATGAGGTTGATGAATAGAAGTGTCAATCGAGAAACAATCCCGAAACCTGTTAATTGGTTTTGGAATGTATATATTTGGCCAGAGGGATCTGTCTTATTTATCTCTTTATTCCCAGTGACTAGCACAGGGCTCTGGACACAACTGATGCCCAACTCATATTTATTTAGAACTGTGAACAGGCCCTGTGCAAGACAGTGGTTTGGGATGTAAAGAGATTTTGTCATGCATATCGTGGGACAGTGTCTAGTTTAAGGCTGGGCATGACTAGGTACATAATAAATATTTGTATAATCCATGAGTGCTAGAGGAATTGGCTACTAGGTGGGAATGGGAAGACATAATGGAGACAATCTTGGTGAAGACAGGACAAAGGTATTGTTTATCCTGTCTGGAAGGATGTGAGGGGCCCAAGGACCAGCCCCCACACTGCTGATTCCTAGGATACCAAGCTATGCAGACACATTTCGTGATACCATCAGGCAAGTCCAGGAGGGAGAGTCCTGCACCTGGGAAGCTATTTCTGGCTGTGTGTTCTGCCAGCAGTGTTCTGGGAGGCTGCAGGAGCCGGATCTGCTGCTGGGGCTCTGGAACTCAGAGTCGGGACAATGCCAGCTTTGTCTTGCCAGGAGCACCTGAATGTCATGGCTGGAGGGGAAGGCAGCAGGGAGGGGCAGCCTCAGGGAGCCCAATCTTATTCTGCCACATCTTTTCCCAGCTGTGTCCTGCCTGTGTTAAGTTTGGGGGCTGATTTATCTTATTTGCAACATTGGTATATTGCATTTTAAAGAGTCTCAAATTATGAAATCACTGTGAGGTTGGAAGAATTGCATTTTTTTCCATTTTATAGATGGAACAACTAAGACTAACAGAGTTATTTATAATAACAACAGTAACAATAGTATATGTTAGGTATTATACTAAGTATTTCGTATGCAGTAACTTATCAAAGCCTTATAATGCCCTCTAAGACAGGAAATACTCTTTTTTTCTTTTTTTGAGATGGAGTTTCGCTCTTGTTGCCCTGGCTGGAGTGCAATGACACGATCTTGGTTCACTGCAACCTCCACCTCCCAAGTTCAAGCGATTCTCCCGAGTAGCTGGGATTACAGGTGCCCACCACCATGCCTGGCTAATTTTTTGTATTTTTAAAAATAGAAGGGTTTCTCCATGTTGGTCAGGTTGGTCTCGAACTCCCAACCTCAGGTGATCTGGCTGCCTTGGCCTCCCAAAGTGCTGGGATTATAGGCGTGAGCCACCGTGCCCAGCTTAGGAAATATTCTTGTAACTATTTCGCAGCTGCGGAGATTGAAGCTCAGAGAGGTCAAAACTTTATCAAACCCAGTCCCATCTGATTCCAGAGCCCATATTCTTAACCTCTATGCTGTGCTACCTCCGTGTCATTCAACTAATTAGCTTATTAATGAATACTTTGCATGTATATAGTGCTTTAAATTTCCCAAACACTTTATGTATATTTGTGCCTTAGTGTGGTGCTCTAATACTAGGTGCTACGTGGAACGAGTACTGTTTTGTTGACATCCTTTGACACTTCAAAAATAACGCCAGGAGCTGGGAAGGCACTTACTGCTCTGCGCTGTACTTTGTACAGTATTGTGACACGTGATATTTTGTATTTTGTACAGAACGTACTACATAATATGATAACTTTCTACAGTACAGCAAAGTAACCTCTGTACTATACTATATTCCACTTCCCCAAGCCTCAATTTTATCATCTATAAAATGGGGGAAATAACTTTCTCCCAAGGCCTGTGAGCACTGGAGATGACACATGGGAAAAGAGCCCAGCACACCTCACACATCAAAGAAGAGCAATATGCTATAGCTGCCTAGCCACACACTCGGAGTCGTTTTACAGCAGTGAGCTAATATTTCTCTTGCTGAAGTGAACAAGGTGACTGGCTAAAATAAGCCTAGTCATCTGTAACTGAGGAGTAACACAAGTTTATTCTTAGCATCCCCTTCGTGACCTCCGTCACTGGAAAAGAAGGGACTCAGACCAAGGAGCTGTGAACTTCCCGATACATTTGACCCCAGTGGACCCTGTGTTTCTTGTGACTGGCCCCGTACTAAAGACCTCAGTGTTCTTGGTCTCCACGTAGGCAAGGTCAGACCAGAGCTTTAGTCGGAATTGGGTTAAACTATTTCTAGGTGCAAGAGACATCCCTGGAAAAAGAGAGGCAAAAAGAAGGACAGATAAAATATATTTACCATTGGAACATAGATTTTGTGATTACAAGTCATCTAACCATGCACAGCCCTATTCTTGGGCTATAATTATATTTGTTGTGAGTTTTCTCAAGAAACAGCTAGAAAGGGAGGCATTTTGCCAGAGCCTAACCTGAATGGAAGCTCATCACTGTTCATAGTCAGGGGATCATTAGGCCAATGGGGAAATCTGGGAGGCAGGTGAGGTTTCATTTCCTATCCTCTTTCCCATGAATCTCTCAGACCAGCACCATTTTTCTGCCAAGGAAAGTTGTCTCTGGCCATGAGGAATCATCCCTGGGCTGCACATGCCATTTGGGCTCAAAGAATAAGCAGAATAGCATCATTTTGGATTGTCACAAAAAGGCCATCAAATGAGGGTGGCACAGTTAGGATAGGGAAGATTGGCAGCTATAACAGATGAACTCTGGGAGCTCAGTGGCTTCATTGATACATTCATTTCTTGTTCTTGTCTTTTTTTTTTTTTTTGAGACAGAGTTTTGCTCATGCTGCCCAGGCTGGAGTGCAATGGCACGATCTCGGCTCACCACAACCTCTACCTCTTGGGTTCAAGCGATTCTCCTGCCTCAGCCTCCTGAGTAGCTGGGATTATAGGCATGTGCCATCATGCCCGGCTAATTTTTTTTGTATTTTTAGGGTAGAGACGGGGTTTCACCATGCTGGTCAGGCTGGTCTCCAACTCCCAACCTCAGGCGATCTGTCTGCCTTGGCCTCCCAAAGTGCTGGAATTACAGGCCTGAGCCACCGTGCCCAGCCTTCTTGCTCTTGTCTTCATCCTCCACATGTTGGTTGAAGGAGAGCTGTGTCTCTCATGGCATACAGGGACCCACCCTCATGGCATGACGTCAAAGTTACATGGCGTGCTGCTGATGGAAGATGAGGAAAGTGAACAAAGTTGGAGAGGTCCCACCTACCCTAAGCTGCCTCAGCTGGAAGTGACTCAACACTCCTCTTTAAATTCCATTGGTGAAAGCTTGTCACAGGTTTCCCTGGGTGCTAAGATAACTGGAAAGGGCAGCGTCATAGCATGTGTGAGTGGGAAGGGAAGGAAGCTTAGTACCAACCTCTCTCAAGGTCAGAATTACATTTCAGCCCAGGAATCACATATTAAGGTGAGCATCTCAGGCTTCTCTGATGAGTTCTTTCTCCATATAAGTGGAAAGGGACAGGAAAAATAACAGTTGCTATTTATTGAACATTTACTATGGGCCAGGCATTATGTTAAATTTTCCCAAGGCTTACTATGTTTCATATAACTCTGTCATGTATGTATTGTTACTTCTATATTATAGATAAGGAAAACCCAAAAGAGAGAAGTAACTTGATCATATAACTCTGTCATGTATGTATTGTTACTTCTATATTATAGATAAGGAAAACCCAAAAGAGAGAAGTAACTTGATCAACATCACACTGCTAGGCCGGGAGTGATGGCTTATGCCTGTAATCCTAGCACTTTGGGAGGGCAAGGCAGGCTGATCGCTTGCACCCAGGAGTTTGAAACCAGCCTGGGCAACAAAGCAAAACCCCACCTCTACAAAATAAACAAAACTTAACCAGGCATGGTGGCTTATGTCTGTAGTCCCAGCTACTCGGGAGGCTGAAATGGGGAGGATCCCTTGATCCTGGGAGGTGGAGGTTGCAGTGAGCTGTGATCACACCACTGCATTCCATCCTGGGTGACAGAGTGAGACCCTGTCTCGGAAAAAAAAAAAAAAAAAAAAAATTCACAGCTAGAAAATGCTGGAGCCATGATCTATTCTGATTCTGATTCTCGGTCTGATTCTAAAGCCTGTGTCCTTACCCATGATCTATTCTGATTCTGATTCTCGGTCTGATTCTAAAGCCTGTGTTCTTACCCATTAGACCACACTGCCTATGTGAAATACAGCTTTCAATGTGGCTCTGAGGGATTAACATGACGATAGACAAGTGCTTAGCCCAGTTGCCTGACATGCCATTAGTGCTCGTTGATTGCTGATTACGAAAAGAAAATAAGCAAAAAAAATTTTTTTAACTATCGGAAAGTTTGTCTTTGATCTTCAAGGAGTTAGGTTATCTGCTCTGATGGTTTTTTTCCCTTGCAAACTGGTATCCCATTTTTTCATTTGCACATTCAGTTAATGTGTCTACTGAATGTGTTCTGTAGGCTTATCACAGTGCGAGGCACTTGGTATGTGAAGATGAGCTGGATACGGTCCCTCCCCTCAAGGAACAGAGTGAGGGTGTGGGATGGATTCATTCTCTCCAAGTTCTGGGAGATTCTGAGAAATGGCACTGGAATTGTCGGCCACTTGGGGTCTGGTTGAACGGATGGGACAGGATGAAAATCTAGTGGATTAGGAGTGTTTATTTCCCATTTGTGAGGCAAACCAAGTAAGAAGGTAGTTATAAGGAGCTGTAAATTTTTATTTCGTTCTCTCCAGAAACTTTTCCCTTTCTGACACAGCCTTATCTGTATTCCACCTAGGGCCACAATAGACACCATTACAGTTCTCAGTTACCCTAGGTACCAGGTTTGGCGCAGGACTAGCATATGATACTAGGAGAGCCAATCTCAGCCCTTCCCTGGGGCTAAGTATGGGGGAAAGCGACTCTCACTGGCTCTGGTGGTGACAAAGGCCGTGCTGGACAGGAAGTATCACACTAATACCCAGCATCTATTAGGTGTCAACACCAAGGCCAGTGTTTACCCCATGCTGCTGGACACTGCCTTTGAGTGAAATTGCTTCAGCCTCACAACCACCCTGTAAGGTGGGTACATTTTCATTATTCTTATGTTACAGCTGAGAAACCTGGAGCTCAGAGGGGTGACAACACTCATTCAAGGTCACATAGCTAGTAAGGAATCAAGCAGGGGTTTGAATCCCACACCCTGTACTCACAATCACCATGCCACACTGCTACCAGTTATCTCCATGTAACTACCTCTGGGTCCCAGCGAGAAAGGACATATGTGAAGATGGCTAGTCTTGGGCTGCAATCTATGTTCAAAGACCAGGGGCAAGTAGATTTAATCCCGCCACTTGGACTGTGTTCTTTCTACCTGCCCCTCGGACCCCGCCACCAGTGTGATCCAATCTAAGACCCAAACTGAATAGCTCTGAGCCTTCACACTTTCTGACATCTCCTGAGCCCCAGCCCCCAGGACCCTGTAGCATCCTTGATTTTTTATTCTCTCAGGGACATGCTATAAAAGATTGAAGTCAGCAATTGCGTAGATTGCTGTCAAAAATAAGGGCAATTTTATACATGTTTTCGGTTCCTATTTCCCCTCCTTGCTTTCCCCCAAGGGTTTGAGATTGTTAAGCGGCAGAGCTGGTAGAGTTTCCGAGGGGAGGTCACCAACTGGAAATGAGGAACCTGCCAGATAGAGATAACTATATGTGGCTAAGATACCACACTCTGATCAGCTTCAAAGGAAGCCCTCCTAGCAGGCAGTAGAAAGATCAGAGGGACACTGGAAGGTCTTGTCACCCTCAATTCCTCAAGGGCTTGCTGCAGTAGCTGGAGCTCCGTCCTTTCCATGTATCTCCTCCGCCTTCCTATCTCAGTGGAACCCTTAGACCTCTCATCTTCATGGCCCCTTTTCCCCCACAGTTCTCTTAAGCAAACCATCATAGAGAAAATGCTGAGTTACCCCTTTATTCTCTCTACAGATGATGCTATTACAAAATATCATATGAAGAGGTGATCAGAATATGCAGGCAAAAAGTACAAGGAACAGAGTATGATAGAGATGTTTCAGGCTGTTAATTATCAATGAATTGTTAATGGATCCATTATTAATTAATAAAAAGTATGTTGTCGTTTGGATTTTGAATGTTTGTGGTTTCTCTCAGCTTTTAAAAAGGAGTCATGTGTTATTATTGTCTGATTCTAAATATCCACCTTGACACCAAACTTTTTTTGAAAATTTGATCTTCTTTTTATTAAAGAGGACCTTGAAAATTGTGTAAGCTTCAGGTCCCACACACCCAGTTATGTCCCTGGTTCTAAGATTCTGAGACTGTAATATTCTACAGTTTGTATGTTCCCCAGATCCAAGGTCTGTCATCTCCTGATCCCTTTCGGGTCACTCCCAACCATTCTGCTCCCCGCCTCCTATGGGATATTGTTCATTAGAACATTGGCCCCTAGACTTCACAATCCTGGAGGTTTTCTATGTGTCTCTCAAGCATTTGTAAACCAGGACTGCAAGGTCTAAGGGGTTTAGGAAAGCACAGTAGCTTCTGAGGCAGCTGCTCCTGAGACGGGGAGGGGAGCCTTCAGCAGAGAGCTTCCAAGGACGTCTGGTTTTGTTCAGAATTCTCCATTCATTTGGATTTCTCCATTTTCCTTCCTGCGGCTCACAGGTGCCGTTCTGCGGCTCACAGGTGGATTGAGAGAACTAGTCTCCTGCCAACAAAGGGTGGGTCAGAATCAGAGCTCTGACTCCCTTCCTTTACAGGCAAAGTTCTTTTACAGGCAAGGAAATTGACCACAGTATGGCAGCCGCTGATCCAAGCCCATTCCACAAGTCAGCCCGGCTGATAGCTAAGACTCCTTTCCTCTCCTGTCGGCTCCCCTCCAGACTCAGAAAAGAGGACAAGCACTGAGAAGGCACTTTACTTCCTGCCGAGGAAGAAGTGGGGAATGATTTTAAAGGCAGAAGCGAAGACGATGTCCGGTGTCTGAAAAATAAATATCTCCCCATTGCCACCAACCCACATGTCCTTCTTCCAGGATCCATTTTCCTTTGTCCCCTTGGCGGAACTGGGGGCTCCCCGCTCTGCTATTATTTTGCTGTGTTTCAGGGGCACACAACTGGTTCTCCCAGAGAAGATAAAAACAGGCTGCTAGCAGGATCACAGTTCCTTTGGCTTCAGATTTCACTGTTTGTGGTTGCACAAAAACCTATTTCAAATAAACATAAAAAAACTTTTACAACAGGCTTACTGTAGGCCCCCCAAATTCTGGCTGACTCTGGGGGAAAGGAGGAGAAGGGACAATCAGGAACAGAACTGCTTCTGGAGCTCTCAGTTCAAAGCACTCAGGGATTAACGTTTTCCTACCCCAACCCTGGAGAAGATGGACTCTAGTCTGTCAAAACGGAAGGGGCCTCATTTTATAGATGGGGAAACTGAAGGAAACTCAGCTGTTCCATAGTTCCTCTGAGATGATCAATGGAACCATCTTTGAGGAGAGTATATACAGTGCTTCTCAAACTTGGCAGCTCATTGGAATCAACTGGGAATCGTTAAAAGGTACTGACACTAGGACCCACCTCCAAACATTCTTATTTAATTAATTTGGGAAGAGACCTGGACACTGGGCTTTTCTTAACCGCTCCCTAAGTGATCCTAATGGGCACCACTGTTGGGGACTGCTGGTGTGGTGGAGAAGGGACAGGGAGGTGTATCTCTACATCTCTGTCCGAGCGTTTTATAACTGTGTCCTTCATCAATCACATGGGCTTCTGTCTCCTTCCTCTGCAAATTAGAGCTAACAAATTAGAGCTACCTCCAATAGGGTCCAAGTGGGAATTAAATGAAATGATATGCATTAATTGCTTAAAGCAATGACTATCACAGAGTAATTGGTCAATACATGTTTGTATTATTGTTACTGATGTTACTGTTGTTACTTATCATGAATGCCACAATTTCAAGGTCTCAGGATGGGAAATGGGGGAACACAATCCCCACATCCATTGATGGTTGAATTAGGATTCGGGAGATCTGATTTCCTTTTTGACTGTTCTGACAACAAACAAGCTGTGTGACCTTGGGCAAAGCTCTTAACCTCTCTGAGTTTAGTTACCACATCTTGCCAGATGGGTCTCATAGCCCCTGGCCATCTATTTTCCAGGAAGCTGTGAGATTCCAACAAGATAATGGATTTGGATGAGATTTGAAAACAGGAATGCACTAGAGGAATTTGAGATATTACGATTATGATGCCCATTGCATCCCCCGTGTGCCCTGGCTGGCCCATCTGTTCTGGGAGCTTTCCGTTCTCTCTCTGCCTCCTTTGGCCGCCAGTCCTGAGCTGCTCCGTCTGACATTTGGGCAGTTTCCAGGGAGGATTCTGTCCCTCTTCCATCTGCCTCTCAACTTAACTCTTTTCTCTCCCCTCTTTTGGTCTACGAGGATCTGACGCTAGGGCGTGATGTGTTGGTGTGTGAGAAGAGACACTAGGGAGTGACGACTCCTTTTCCTGGGGTCAGGAGGTGACCAGTGATCTTGGATTTCCCACCATGGAAAAGCTGGAACGTGCCTATGAGACCTTCTAGATAGACCGGGAGATGAGGTTGAGTGGGAGGCAGAGCCGGGATCTGAACCCAGCTTCCTGGACTACCATATAGTGCCTTCTGCTCCCCACTTCCCACTCCACCCAACTGCCCTGAGCTCTTGGGGATGGGCTCTGCAATATGGGATCCCTACTGGCTCCTTAATTTCTCTTGGAGAAGTTACTGCCTGCGGGAGAATATCAGGCCATGGGGGTTTGCTGCTCCCTTCAGGAGCCTGGGCTGTCTCCCAAGGAGAATCTGTGTCCTGGGCCAGGTCATAGAGCTTCGGCAAGACTCAGTTTTCTCTGCTATAAAATGGGAAAACCACCATTGCTTCTATTGGTCAAATGCAATCATAAGCAAGAAAGAGTTTACAACCTCTATTTCCTGAAATACTAATGCTTCTGCTGGAGACAGGCATGGAGATGGGTTGAATCTGCCAGGCTGATCTCCCCTGGCTGGAGACCGAGGCCAAGGCAGAGGCATCTGGGCTGCTCCGAGCTGTGTGGGCTGGGAGGAGCCTGTGAGAAGGCAGGGCCTGCTTGAGATTGGCAGCTGCAGGCCTGCTGGCAGATGGTCTCCTAAGTGGGCCACCTCAGGGTCAGCTTTATGGATCTGCACATTAACCCTTTCCTCCCTAGCAGCCTCATAGCTGCTGGTTCTTTTTGACTTTGGCCTAACTGAGCTGTAGACTAGACCCTGGCTCACATCCAACCACTCCCCAGCCCACTCTGAAGACACGAACCATTCATTGCACAACCTCATGACACTCAGATCTGGACAAGATTGAGGAGAGAACAGCCTTTTAATATTCATCACTTGTATTAATACCAAGTTTTGTAAATACTGATATACAAAAAGTGGAAATATCACTGAACAGAATAACCAACATAAATATTTTGGAGTTTATCCTTCTAGACTCACTAACTTACTCTTATTTCTCATCTCTCCTTCTCTCCCCCTTTACCAATATGAGATAATATTGGACATGTTGTTTTATTCCAGACTTAAACAAATTTAGCAATACAGTCTGAGTACCTTCCCATGTAAATATCCATCCATCTCATCATTTGTAATGCCTTTGTAGTGTTCTATTATTGACGTCTATCAAAAGAAGTTCACCCACCTGCCATTGTTGGATGACACCATTAGAGAATGAGGAAACAAACTGAGAGAGGTTCAGTGACTTGCCCAAGGTCACACAGCTTGGAAATAACAAATCCGAACTTGAATTTTGGTCTTGGGAGTTGAAATATGGTTCTCTTTTTTAGGTTAGAAGGAGTGAGGGTTTAGCAGCACTGCTCCTGTAAACCAATACTGACCAATCCCACTCCAAGAAGGGCTCAGACGAGTGTTGCTTTCTGGCTGTTGGTTGGCTCAGTTCTGGGTTTGAGTATCAGCCCCATCTTGATCGGCTGTGTGCTTTTGGGTAGCCTGACTCCTTTCTATAATGGGGAGGCCTCTCTGGAGCCTCAACTTCTTCATCCATAAAATGAGGCTATTAAGATCTAACTTGTCAGGCCATTAAGGGGATTTGTTAGAGAAGAAACTGTCCAGGTACGTGGCACATAGCGGGTGCTCGGCTGTGAGGCTAATATGCTTCCATTGCTGCTAGAATTTTGGGTATTAAAAGAATATGAATAGGCCTGCCACAGTGCCTCACGCCTGTACTCCCAGCACTTTGGGAGGCCAAGGCGGGCAGATTGCTGCAGCCCAGGAGTTCAAGACATGGCAAAACCTCATCTCTACAAAAAATACAAAAATTAGCCAGGCGTGGTGGTGCACGCCTATAGTCCCAGCTACTTGGGAGGCTGAGGTGGGAGGATCACTTGAACCCAGGAAATTGAGGCTACAGTGAGCAGGAGATGGCGCCACTGCACTCCAGTCACAGGGAGATCCTGTCTCAAAAAAATAGATATGAATAAAAAAATTAATGTTATCTAATGTCTATTTATATTTTCTGATATCTACTCTTATCTAGTGTTATGTAACATCTAATCATGGTAGAGCTCTAACGGTAGGAGCAGCTCCAGTCCCTAGCAAGTTTCGTCTCCTCACCAGGCCTCAGTTTCCCCACCTTTGAAAGCCTTTGATTATTTCTGACGGTGATTCTTGCCCTCACCTCCAGCTCCCGGAGAGAACGCGGTTAACCTTTTGATGGGCGCAGGCCTGGTCTTGAAACCCCTCCCTCATCAGCGCTCTCTTTCCCCTCCCCCACCAGCCAGAACCAACGGGCCGCCCCTCCCCCCACCAGCTCTGGGCCTTTGACACTAATTGATACGGAGTTTTCCCCTCTAATCCTGCCTCTGCCTGGGGCCCTTGTTCCTAGGGCATCTGCTTGGTGAGAGGAGGAGGAGGCAGGGCCGACCGCCACCCGCCTGTCTGCCATCTGGTCCCCTTCCCCTCCCTCCTCTCAGCGCCACCAAGAGAAGTCTGTAATGAATCCGTGGCCCCCCGCCCAAAGGGGTGGGGTAAGACCGGTCTCACGCTGGCGGCCTACACACACGCGCACACACATACACACAGACGCACACTCACTCGCGCA